CAAACTTCAATATAAAAGTTAAAACTTAAGAATTCATTTAAACTTTTAATTCATATAAAGTCTCAGCTTCCACAGCTTACTAGCAATGTCGCTAGCTATTAATAGTCTGACACTGGTGGCTAATTAAGCTGTCAACATAAAGCTAAAAATTACCAAAAAACAGACTGAACAGTCGTTTCTGTATTACCTGTGAAAGATAATACCCCGAGATCTGTTTTTATTATTGTGCGACGGTTTGTAGATGCCCAAGCTGCCGACGAGTCAGGTGTGTTTTCGCCTGTCCCGATATATGAGAGTTGCCTTCACCAATATGGCGGCGACGTTGACGTGCGGTCGAGCGGCCAATGAGGCGTCTAGGTATTTATTATGTCTATGCTGTCCAACAGCGACCAAGTAGGGAAAGTCACGTGAGAGGAGGCAATGCCTCCATCGCGATATGATTGGATATGACTGGTTATGCTCGGCTGTGATTGGTTCATGCGATAAACCTCGCCTCTTTTGTTCGTGCCAGTTATGCGTTGAATCAGTCTGAATGAACAATATAAAGGCGTTAATGGGAAGACTAATAAAAAAGTAAGTAAACAACTCACACTAAAATGGCATGAAAACATGATCTGTGGGAGTTTTTAGTGAGCAATCAGCTTGGTGAAATTTGATGACTGATGATCTGAAAAATTCAAAAACAGTCAAAAAAGAATAGCTGAAGTTCACAAATAAAATATATTGTTTAAATTATACTGCTGTGAGTTTAAATATGAAGCGTCACAGCCCAGGGGAGTGTTTCAGCACAGCAGTAGCTACTGCTGTCACCTGATTACACCTACAGTAGTTGAATGTTGGACTGCCAGTGTTTGTTGCTGTCTTGCAAGAGGAAGTCATGACTGACTAATTCCAGGTAAGAAATAAATACATAGATAAAACGCGCTAGCTGTGATGAGGAGCAGAGGACGGTTTCCAAAGTGTCTCAGAGCCGTTCAATAAGATGATGAAAGGAGAAGTTTAAACGAGCGTCGGAGAAACTTTGAAGGAATAACGAGCCACCGGATCAGATCACAGCGTGGGGTTTTGCTATTTGTGTGAAACATCTGTCTTTAAAACAGAGAATGGAAACATTTGCCATTATTTGTGTAATCTGTTGAAAGACAATGTGTGGATTATTTATTAGTTACTTCATAACATCATCCCGACTCGCCTGTCTAGATGTGAGGATGATTTATTTGCTTGTTTATCTTTTTATAAACTATTTCTTACTATGTGTCAGTAAGTTGTTGTTATTTTAGCATGTGTGTTTGCCTCAGTGTTATTTTTTTAGGATTACTGATGAACTAATGTACTTTGATTTGTATTAGTTATCTATTTTAGTTTTAGTTACAGTTGTAGTCATGTTGTCATTTTTTATTATGTCTATATAGGCTATTTCATATAGGTTATATATATATAGGTTATTTCAGTACTTCAACATACAAAATGGAAATGAAATAATATATACAGTATATATACAGTGGGTACGGAAAGTATTCAGACCCCCTTAAATTTGGATAAAAGCGTCTGCTAAATGACTAAAAGTAAAGTAAAAGTAAAAAGGATGATTCAATTTCAATTGTTGTTTTTTTTTTTTAAAGAATATCTGTTGGTTTAGCGTTTTTTTAACTGCAGTCGTAACCTTTTGACAAGCGTGTTTCACTTTTTAGTTAATGCAACATTAACATTGTATTAACATTATTAACTTTGTTTTTAATTAACGATTGTACATGGCAAAAATCTTAAAATCTCTCGTCCCGTATTTTGTGTTGTAAATATAAAAAGTTATTATACTTGATATTTACATCATTGATGCATTCATTAGCTAATCGTAATCGATATTTATTTGCTTGTTTATTTAGCATGAAATAGACCCAAAAATGCGCAAACAATATTTTTATGTAATGTAAATCCAATTGACTGTTTTACTATTGTATAACCACAGTATAGTTTTAATAGAATATTATATTAATATAGGGGAGAACGGTGCAAGTTGCTAGAAGGTGACGTTGTCTCAAGGACGGTACCTCAGTAAATATAAAGTCAAACATTTCATTTAAATTAAAATAATAATAACAACAACAATAATAATAAATATGGAGTAAAAAGAGGACTAACCCCTCACTATCATCATATTTTAGATTTTGCTTATTTTGAGTAACCTATATATTGAAAGTAGATTTTACCCAAAAGTTTGGACTGTGTTCTCAGGACAAGGACATACAAGTCATCTGAAACTAACCATGTTTGTTAATTTGTCAGCATATTGCAAGATTACAAGGCGAAGATTGTCTAAACTCAATCCAGAATGGAGAAAGCAATACAAATTACAGACACCCGGACTGTGAAGATAAGGATTGTGCAAAAATGAGTCATGAGACAATGTGATATCAGGCATCAGCAAGAAGGAGCTGGAACAGCTAAAGGACATTCTACTGACATACTGAGAGTGAACAGTGGGGCATCATTATAATGCTGGTATCACACAACTTTTGACTGAAGAGGTTTTTGTCAAGCAGAGTAGCAGCCTGTCAATAAGCACGGTAGATTGTCCCCAGTGACTTAAAATCAATGCTCACTAAGCATATCCTTAATAGGAATGAGATAAACGCATGCTTTCATCAACAAAAAGGAACAACCATGAAAAATGCCTGTAATCCGTAATTTACAAAGAGAAACAGATCAATACAGCACACATAACTATTCATTAATGTAACTTAAACAGGCTCTCTGTAGAAATTGTGAAGATCAGACTCCACAGATCGTTAAAACAAGTTGCTACACCACAGCTGGCACTACAACTGAAGGATCAAACATACTGGTGTTCTACAAACAGCTAAGACCCTTGACCTTCATCAGTATGAACCTGACTGCCCATCTTCTGGACCTCATGCTGAAGGCTTCCAACCTCTCTCGCTGGCAGTTCATCCAGGAATTCTCCATTCCTCCTCTGGTGGCAGTGCCCAGACTCCCTAGCGCCCTGCTTCCAATTTTTGGCCTGCTCTACGTGCTCATCTTTGGGCTTGCAGTGGTGGGAAACGGGGCGGTGCTGGTTCTCTTATGTCGCAGGAAGGCTCTGCAGTCTCCCAGCACCTTCTTCATTTGCTCTCTGGCACTCAGTGACCTCCTGATATCCATAGTGTGTGTTCCTGCCACACTGCTGCAGCACTTCTTCACCAACTGGTTGGCAGGTAGGCTTAATTTTGTTCACACTTGGCAGAAATCAGTTTCTGTTATGTTTATAATGCACCATAACTGTCTATAACCAATTGGCCACCCAGTTTTTCCCTAACTTTTTATGATTTTTTATAAACCCAAGGTCTCCTGATGTATAGCTCAATCTCAACACTATTAAGTGACAGCTTTGGGAAAGTAAAGCTTTAAGCATATATAGTCAATGCATGATCAAAGCCACTGATGAAGCTAAGGGTGCTTTCACACTAGCACTTTTGGTGAGCACCTGGGTTCGATTGGCAATCGACAGGCAATCGAACCAAGCGTGAAAGCACCCTAACAGAGTAGTTGACCTCCAGTGCATTCATCTCACAATTCAACGCTCTTAAATGGTATAGTATTGTTCAAAGGGTAAAGCATTTCTGTGCTTTTTACACATTCTTTTTTCATCTTTCACAAAACTACAATTCATTAAAAGTTTGTGCTACACTTCAGTACATGTGCACAGATTAAAATATGCACTTGTAACATGAATTCATGCCAGTGAATAAATCATGTGCAAAACTGCACTAGGCCTGAAATTGGATTTCTGAAGTCTATCCATAATAATGCAGTACAGTATACTGCACCTGTGTTACTGAATTAAAATGCAAGTGTCTCTTGTACCATCCTTGAAGCACAAAAATGAGCACTGAGGTTTTTAAAAAGACATAAACTGTGCTTAAATCTATTTAGGCATCTCAAAATAATGTCAGAATTATTACTTTTTTCATCTCTAAGAAAGGCTATCTGATGTTAATAATAATAATAATAATAATAATAATAATAATAATAATAATAATAATAATTAGGGGTGTAACGGTACACAAACATGACGGTTCGGTACATACCTCGGTTTTGATGTCGTGGTTCCGTTCAACCCCCACTACGGGCTCTGTCTTTACATTTACTTTGAAAGCTGAAGCTCGCTATTATGGTAAGGGGCGTTACATTTCCGACGCGTGCTTGCGGTGTTCGGCCAATCACAATGCATTGGGTCAGCTGGCCAATCAGAGCAGACTGCGCTTGTCGGAAGGAGGGACTTTGTAGAAAACTAAGCGTTTGAGAGAGGCGGGGCATAGAGGACCTACAATAATGTACAGTATTTGAAAAATAATGTGTTTTTTGAACATTAAAGCATGTCAACATATTCTGTTACACCAAATACAAAAAATAACGATCTTTATAAAAGCATCATATGACCCCTTTAAGTTAATGCAACATTAACATTTTATTAACATTATTAACTTTGTTTTTAATTAACGATTTTATATGGCAAAAATCCTAAAATCTCTCGTCCCGTATTTTGTGAAATAAAGATATTATACTTGATATTTTTCATCGATGCATTCATTAGCTAATTGTAATCGATATTTGCTTATCGAAAAAATCTATATTTTTTGGGGGATGAACTGTCCCTTTAAGTGGACAAATTGTGTCATCATAACAGACATGCAGTAGCTTACCATCATCGCTAAAAACATCGAAAAGCTGGTGCACTTACATAGTGTATAATTGGTGGACCATACATTACTCGTTATTTTGCTGTCAAACATTTCAGTGGACCTGTACATAAGTTTTGTTTGGACTTGAATGTTTTTTCTTCAGCTGAAATTTTACTGATGGTTGATTAATATTCACGGCCATCTGCTGCGTGATACTGGTTCAGACGGTAAACCGGTTTGAATTACACATTTTTAAAAAAAGGCATAAGTTAGCTACCTACCGGTACAAGTGCCTAAGCCACAGCGTCGTGAATTGAGAGGTAGTCCCTGTTAACTGCATACACTTCTGACTAATAGTTAGAGAACTATTAATAACAGACAACTAATTCTTTAACTGGGCAAATAAACCAACTGTAAACGGCCGTTAACAGAAGCCAGAGACGCTGAAGAGGAACGCAAAGAGGAGAAAATACTGTAGCAGGCAGAGCAAGATCACTGTTCAAGTTGCGCGAAATTGTCATGGTTCGGTACACCCCTAATAATAATACATCCCAAAATGAAAGTCCTGTCATCATTTACTCACCGTCATGTTCACCCAAACTTGTATGAAAATATTTTTTTAATTTTTTCCTGTGAAAAAATGCCTCAGTGTTTTTTGACTATACAATGGATGTCAGATTGTCCAGTGTTGTGTCCAGTGTTGTTTTGGACCCCAATGTCTTTCATTTCATGGAGAAAAACTGTTTGAATACAGGTTTGAGGGTGAATAAAGGATTTTTGTTTTTTTGGATGAACTGTCCCTTTAAGTGGACAAATTGTGTCATCATAACAGACATTCAGTACCATCATCGCTAAAAACATTAAAAAAACTGGTGCATTTACATTGTGTATAATTCGTGGACCATACATTACTCATTATTCTGCTGTCAAACATTTCAATGGACCTGTAGGCTACATAAGTTTTGTTTGGCCTTGGGTGTTTGTTGTGTAAAACATCTGTCTTTAAACAGAGAATGGAAGCATTTGCCATTATTTGTGTGATCTGTTGAAAGAAAATGTGCAGATTATTTATTAGTTTACTTCATAACATCATCTCGACTCGCCTGTCTAGATGTGAGGATGATTCGATTTCGATTTTTTCTTTTTTTTCTTCTTTTTTTTTTAACAATTGATGTATTGCTGTCAAATCTATTGGTTTAGCATGTTTTACCTGCAGTCGTCGTAACCTTTGACAAGCATGTGTATACCCTATCACTTTTAAAGGGGTCATATGATGCGATTTCAAGTTTTCCTTTCTCTTTGGAGTGTTACAAGCTGATTGTGCATAGATAAGATCCCTGAAGTTGCAAAGACTAAAGTCTCAAAAATACTGTAGCAGGCAGAGCAAGATCACTGTTCAAGTTGCGCGAAATATTGGAAGAAAATCCTAAATACTGAATCGGGGGTTTATATGAATGTAGCCTATCTCTGAGGGGAACTGACTGTCTTCAGAAAAGATTAGATGGTATTTTATTTTCATCTTACCTCCATATAATGCATATTAATGTAGTTTTTAAAAGTGCCGCGCTGCTTTGTTTACAGTTGTGATAACTGTAGATTGTGATAAACCGTGAAACCGCCAGAATCCCCCCAAAAAACAAAACCGTGATACATATTTTTGGTCAGCCCAGCACTAAGGCCATCCTACAAGTAGACTTCTATGTCTAAAATGGAGCTATAATTCTGATGTGATAAATAGCCTATACAAGTCTGATGTCCATTAATAATCAAGTTGTCGTGAACAGACACAGGCTTGCTGAGACCAGAAGGATAATGTTGTGCTTAAACATTTCCATGTAGCATACTCATTACTGCATTTATCTGTGTGGTATTGTTTTTCGACACCTTCATTACATCCAACACTTAAATCAGAGCTCCAAGTAGCTTTTGATGAGATGGAAGGTCACCATTGATTAGAAGAGATCTTCAGAACCTCTGGTTGAATTGTAAATGAGCAATTTACCTCACCAGAAGTTCTTGGAATCCTATTTGCTGCATCAACCCATCTACAATATGTGTAAATAACACATTAATGTGCTTATGTTGCTGTAGAAACAATTTTCAATTATTTTTAAAATGTTTTTTGAAAGTAGTCTTTTATGCTCACCAAAGCGGCACTTATTTGATCAAAAATACAGTAAAAACAGTAATATTGTGAAATATTATTACAATTTAAACTAATTGTTTTCTGTAATTTATTAATTTGTAAGGTAATCTGTTACAGTTCTGTTATCTGCAGTGTAATTTATTCCTGGGATGGCAAAGCTGAATTTTCAGCAGCCATTACTCCAGTCTTCAGTGTCAAACAATCTTTCAGAAATCATTCTAATATGCTGATTTGTTGCTCAGCATTTCTTTTTATTATTAATATTGAAAACGGTTTAATATTGTTGTGGAAACTGTGAAATCCTTATTTTCAGGATTCTTTGATGAATAGAAAGTTCAAAACAACAGCATTTATTTGAAGAGAAATTTGTATAACAGTGTAAAATTCTTTGAGATTTTTTTTTTACCAATTTAATGTTCCATTGCTGAATAAAAATATTAATTAAAAAAATAGTGACCCCAAGCTTTTATAGTGTAGGGTAATGGTATATAATGCGAGAGAAAAATTTGTAAAATATTAAATATATTTAAGTGAAGCTTTGATACATTAAATTTTATATTTCTTTAAAAAAAATCTCAAGTTTAATGCATCATGAAGTATATCATGGCCACTCAGTTCTGGTTATTTTTATTTCATCAGAATACATGACTACTGTTGAAAGGCCATCAATGGAAAAAAAAATGCATTTGCAGCAAAAGGTGTAGTTATGATGTCTACCAGCAGGATCTAACTGGACTGTGTTAACCAGCCAAAATTGAACGCTTGACATTTAAAAATAATTCAAATATGGTCTCAAATACCCGTTGCCTGCCATTTTTTGACTCTAAAAATCAGGCATAGTTTGCATTGCTCAGTATGCGTCATGTTGTGTTTTAGATTCTATCGTTTGCAAGAGTCAGTGACCTTTCATCTAATGACATTGTATAATGAAGGACAGTCATGTCCGGCATGCAACAGGTGAATTATGCCAGTGTGCTTGTGGAGTTATTTAGGATCAGTGAGCTGGAAAATAAGAATTAGTGGGTTATAGAAGACTCCTTAGAACTGCTGGGAGAAGATTGCTCCTTAAATCCATGGCAACACAAACCCAATCTGATTTCCTATATACTGTAGTAATTATGAGGAACATTGTGTCACAAAATGAAGCCTGTGGTCCTAGTCCACCCCTATGTCTTCATCATTGTCCATAAAGACCATACATTCACTGCCCACACATTTCCTTCTATTAGTTGCTCTGCAAGCCTCCTCAGTATAATTTTTCTTATGTGTCAACAGTTAATCCTACCTACTATGTATATATGAAAACAGGTCAAGCTGTTTGTTATTCAATATTTTTATACAGTCTTTCACCAGCTCATTTGCCTGTTCTCTAATTCACTCATATTCAACGATTCAATCACTGTGCCTCATTAATTTTTTGACCGACAGGAGATTTTCTGTGCAAGTTAATACCATTCCTACAAGTGACGGCCATCGGGACCAGCATGCTCACCATGACGTGTATTGCTGTAGAGCGTTTCCAAGGAATCCTTTATCCCCTGCATGTCCGCAACAGCTACTTTCTTTGTCATGCCTTCAAGATGCTGGGTGAGTTATGAAAAGAGGCTATTAAAGATATCTCATACAACAGCAGGTAAACTCATCCCTTGTGAAAGCCCCTTTTTTTTTACCTTTCCCCACTGTAAGGGAACCCTTCCAAAAATATAAGGGTCCCCTTAAAAATATTAAATATACATTTGAATGTATAAACATCTATTTGTACTGTGTGAAAAAATATTTGTATTTTGTAATTAATATAATATAATATTTTGTGTATTATAAAATGTTTATATTGGTTTTATGTCTAAATTCAAATAATTGTTTTGAAATTAAATATTAAATAACAGAATTTGTTAATGATGTCACTACTGTAAGGAAATTAAAATATTATGAAAATATTATTAAAATGTAATTAAAATATTATCTCAACTTTACTATAATAAACTAAAAATATTTATTAGATTTATTAGATTTTCTTATTGTTAAAAAAGTGTCATCAAAAGAATAATAATAATAATAAAATAAAAAAATCTCATAACTTCTAAAAAGTTTTTAGAAAGCAGAATGAAATTTAATGTTATTAAATATAGTAAATTTAGTTTGCAGACTCCTTGCGGTCCTCAGACATCAATATGACATCCTTGAGCTAGACACTGCATAGAAAACAACAAATATTGTGTTTTTTGACTTATTTTACAGTGGCCGTGTGGTTGGTTGCCCTGGCGATCTTTCACAAACAAAGATATTTTAAAGAATGTTTTGTCCATATAATGAAAGTGCAAACCAAATTTGAACCCCATTGACTTATGGACAAAAACAGTGACCTTTTTCAAAACATCTTCTTTTGTGTTCTTTTGAAATTCTACAAAACTACAAATATTATGTCTTGTCCCTCATTTTACAGTGGCTGTGTGGTTGGTTGCCCTCGCAATCGCGGCTCCCATGTGGTTTGTTCAGAAAGTGGAGGTAAACATGCAACTCTAAGAAAATAAGTACTACATTCACATTCTGTCTGAAATTTCCAGAACAATCCCCATCCATTATACACACTATTTTTTAAGATTAAACAAGCAATTGAGTGATTGCTCCCACTCTGGTGCATGCAGGGATATATTATTTAACAGACAAAACTCAAGTCATTAACAGTCAAAGATAAGGAACACAATGAAATAGGTCATACACATCCGTATTCAGCTCAAATAGTAGTATCAGCTAAATCTATCTAAGGAAAGAAAGAAATGTCCTAGTTTCCATTAAGTTTATGAAATGCGTTGTGATTATTAAAGCAAAAGATTACATGAAATAAAAAGAAAAAGCAGCTGATGGTTTAAACATGAGCAGAATATGTCTCTTTGACTTGTAATTTTAATTCACTGCAGCTACCGCCAGAGATAACAGATGCATCAACTCTATTAGAAGCAAATTAGATGCTGTTGTGCTAGAAGAGACCATTGAGGGCTTCAAATGCAATGTCTGTTATGTTTTCATTGAGATAATGCCTTTCGCTTATCATGTTTGTGTTTTTGCTTTATGTTTATTGCCCTTGCATGTGCAGCTTTCACATATTTTTTCCCTCAGACATGTTGTATGCACATGATCATGATGTCATGCTGTTTCAGGCATTCAGCAGATAAACTTCATAAGAAGGATAAAAAGCTGTCTTTAATCATTAGCAATGCCTGTCAGTCAGTAAATCAGGCCATTGTAGTTCATTTGGGAATATGACGAATTATCAAGAATCATTATGAGCAGTATTATACAATATTATTTGCTAAACAAATTCATTAGATTGAATATTTAGCTGCCTCTAGCCTTCCCTCCATCTGTCAAACTTTTTTTTTCTTCTTTTTTCTAAATAGAAAAGAATGAAGGGCCCACATAATAAGTTGCCTCTTATTTAACTATGCAGGTGAAATATGACTTCCTGTTTGATGTCCACCATACCAGTTGTTTGGAAGTATGGCCAAGCCAGAGGCAGAGGAGAGCCTACACTACCTGTCTGTCCGTCCTGGTGTTTCTGGCCCCCTTGGTGACCATGGCCATCCTGTACTGGAAGATCATGCGGGAGCTCTGGGGCAAGCACAAAGTACATGACATCATGTTTCAAACGCTCCCGGGATCTGAAATCAACAAGATTGCAAGGTTAGTCTACAACAGCGGGTTTGCTTGCTATTATATTGTTTATTTCATTGTCTCAAAAATGAAGTTATGCATTCAACAAAACATTAATATTAAATTCACTTCAACCAAAGTTACAATTACAGTAAGATGCTAAATATATTAAAGGGATACTTCACCTCAAAATTCATTAGCAATGCCCGTCAGTCAGTAAATCAGGCCATTGTAGTTCATTTGGGAATATGACGAATTATCAAGAATTGTGAGCAGCATTATACAATATTATTTGCTAAACAAATTCATTAGATTGAATATTTGAATATTTAGCTGCCTCTAGACTTCCCTCCATCTGTCAAACTTTTTTTTTCTTCTTTTTTCTAAATAGAAAAGAATGAAGGGCCCACATAATAAGTTGCCTCTTATTTAACTATGCAGGTGAAATATGACTTCCTGTTTGATGTCCACCATACCAGTTGTTTGGAAGTATGGCCAAGCCAGAGGCAGAGGAGAGCCTACACTACCTGTCTGTCCGTCCTGGTGTTTCTGGCCCCCTTGGTGACCATGGCCATCCTGTACTGGAAGATCATGCGGGAGCTCTGGGGCAAGCACAAAGTACATGACATCATGTTTCAAACGCTCCCGGGATCTGAAATCAACAAGATTGCAAGGTTAGTCTACAACAGCGGGTTTGCTTGCTATTATATTGTTTATTTCATTGTCTCAAAAATGAAGTTATGCATTCAACAAAACATTAATATTAAATTCACTTCAACCAAAGTTACAATTACAGTAAGATGCTAAATATATTAAAGGGATACTTCACCTCAAAATAAAAACTCTGTCGTGGCTTCCTTTCATTTCAACTATTTGCATTGGCAGAGCAAAGGACCATTCACATCTAGTATGCTAAATAATACGTTTTAAGGAACTTTTTCCAGCTGATGAATGTAAAAACCATAGAAAACAAATCAGAATACAACTGACTTTAAGTATTTAAAGCGGCAGACAACGTAACTGCGGCACGTTTATAATGAACAAAATGTTAACGTGTGCTGGTGTGGACACTAATATAGTTATTGGTTTTGGTGTGAACAGGCCTTAAATGATAATACTGTGTCTAAAACATAAGTTACTCAATACTAACTTGTTATTTATTGGACTGTAGTATAAAAGCAATTACTTTTTCTTTTGAATATATTAAAGAATGTTTCAAACTTTTTGTCCACATAATGCGCAAAAGCAACACTGGACTCCACTGACTTTCATTGTGTGGACAAAAACACTGTAGTGTTTTTTAAAATATTGTCTTTTGTGTTCCACAGAAGAAAAAGTCAGGTTTGGATCAACATTAGGGTGAGTTGTTAATGAAGACTAACTTTTTGGGTGAACTATCCCATTAAGTAAAACTACAATGTAGTGTACAAGTATATGACTCTGTACATAATTTAAGATATAGTTCACCCAAACATGTCACCCAAAAATTCTGTCATCATTTACACACCCTCATTTCATTCCAAATCTGGACTTTCTTTCTTCTGTGCAACATCAAAGATACAATTTTGAAGAAATGTGGGTAACCAAACAATTTTGGTGACCAACGGCTTCCATTATGTAGACAGAAAAACTGAAACTTTTCTCAAAATATCTTCATTTATGTTCCACAGAATAAAGTCATAAATGTTTGTAATGACATGAGGGTGAATACATGATGACAGAAAATTCATTTTTGGGTAAATTATCCATTTAATGATTACTTTTAAGGTTTTGCAATGTTAGCATCATTGCAAAGTATATAAATACATTTTAATCATGACAACTCTCTGAAGATTTTGGCATGGTGATGGATATGACAATGTTAATGCATTTGGTCTTGGCAGAATAGATCTGCTACGCTGCTGCTGCTGTTGGTTATTGCTGTAGTTGTAGATTATTGCTGCTGCTGCAAACAAGTACAGGAACTTGCTACTGCCAATGCATACGGCGATACGGTGCCGTGAGTATTTAAGACATACTGCTGCTGCACAAATAGCATATAAAATAACCCATAGCAGATCTATACAGGTGGAGCTGGGGAAGGTGGAGGGTTTCAGAGAAACTCTGAAATCGCGCTGCAGGAATCTCTAGTGAACGCTAGCCAGCTATATAAATGCAAGGCAGTAAGCTCATTGGCTGCATATGCAGCATGAACCAATCAGCTTGTGCCAAGTCGTTTAACTCTCTGAATATCATCAGTTACGTTAACAACCCATCAGCTAAACTATATATTAATATGGTACAAAATTATAGGACAAGCTTAAAATGCAACACTCAGTTTTATACAACATATAACAGGGTGTCCTTGCTCTATTCACCAAGGAGCCTAAAAAGGTTGAAGGCCCCTGGGCTAATAGCGCAGCATGGATACCCATGTGATCAGAACCTAACGATTTTGACAATAAACAACAAAAAACACTTTTTGTTTTGTCCATATAATTCTGGGAGTCACATACTGCTTTTAAAAGGTCTGTTTAGCAGATGCTTTCATTGCCAACATTGCATAACATCTACATTGTTGCTCTCGGTTCGCATAATCTTGGTAGACTGGTACAAATGAAATGCTGTTTGATTGACACCCCTGTATTGTGCTGTTATTGACATGCCTGCAACAATAGAAATGCCTTTCATTCTCAGAAGGAAAAAGCGTGCAGTAAGAATGATGGCCACCGTGGTGCTGCTCTTTGTTGCCTGCTGGGCGCCTTTCCATCTGGTCTCCCTCCTGCTTGACTACGGTACCAAACCTCTTGTGCTCTTCCCTCTTGCCTACTGTTGTCAATCTTTTTTCTTCTCCTCACAAGTAATGAAAAAAACAACCTTTTACACATGTGTCTGTCAGCCAGATGCTGTCCTTCCTGTGAGAGTAGAGTAAACACATTCTCACTTCAGATTCTCTCCTTCTTTACCCCTTTCCTCCTCCCCAACCTTTCGTAGAGGTCAACACCTTGTTCCTGTGAATCTTCGACAGGCAATCAATTGTTCTATTATTCTTCTCGCAGTTATCACTATGGCAACTATTGTGAATTTGGTGTAGTACTATTGTCTCCATTCACAGATTGTGTGATATCACCTAAAAATGCATTAATACAGGTGTAGCATTTTATGTAATTCATAAACATCCTTAATTAATGTAATTTAAACCAAACTTCATAAGCAAGTGCAGGATATCAGAACTCTATGAAATGCTTATGATTAGGAAAATTCACAGCAAATCAAAAATGTCATCTTATTTATATATTTCAGTGTTATGTCCCGTTTATTCTGGGGTCGCATACATTGTTCTCATTATAAATGGACCTGCAGTGGCTTTGGTAAATGGTAAATCACTGCTTTCCATAATTCTGACCTGACTTCTCTGACCTATAGGAGCTATTTTAGTGCCACTTAAGAGCAAGACTGTTTCCCTCCTAATTTTTCAGTGCAATTTTCCATCTGTACTTACTCCTCAAGGTTTCAGTCTTTTTATAATAATATAATTTTTCCTTGCCCAGTGTTCTATCCACTCTATTGTCATGTGCACAACACGCAGTCCATTTCTTCAGTTTTTTCCACGGTTCACTTGCTTCTCAGCTGCAACGAAAGCCTTTCAGAAGACAGCATAACAAATTCTTCTATTTCCAGTGAAATTACATTCATTAGCATTTACCTGAGACAGGAGCCGGTATGGAAATGAAAGTTTTTAAAGGAAACCATGAAAAAGCACGTGACACTAACATGTTTGCATCACCAGAGACACACTTTATACAGTGTGCTGTTCATCTAATCTTGACATTGATAGCAGTTCATTCCTTTTTAGTTTTCTCCTTTTTCTTTTAAAAAGCTATTTAGTGATAAATGAATGCACATAGGAAGTCAATAAGTGACTTCTTTATGAGTGAGTCATTGACTCAAATGAAACTGATTTGCTCAAAAACGCGAAGCGAGTCATTGATTGAGTCATTCAATCGATTTCAACCGTTCAAAACATTCAAGAACAAAACACTATTATGTTGCTAGGAGACACGCAGTGGTTCTGCTGTGGCTTCATTTGGAACTGTTTGTGTTGGTGGAGCAAAAATAAAAAACATAAAAGGCTGTTCACACCAAGAACGATAACTATAACTATAAAGTTTTAATAAACGTTATACTTCTATAAGAATAGGAAAGTTCGCAATGAGGCAGGATATTGTTGGAATCACTTTAGAATGAGTTTTTCCAGCTGATGAACGATAAAAAAAATTGACAGCCAATAAGAATTCACCTGATCTTAAAGAGCTCGACTAGCAGCAGAGGATGTAACAGCAACACATTGTTATTTTGCATTGTTATGGATGCTAATATAGCTAATATGTGACCCTGGACCACAAAACCAGTCTAAAGTCGCTGGGGTATATTTGTAGCAATAGCCAAAAATTTATTCAGCTTTATATTTGTAGAGCCAAAAATTTATTCAGCTTTCAGATGATGTATAAATCTCAATTTGGAAAAATTGACACTTAAGACTGGTTTTGTGGTCCAGGGTCACATATATACTCTAAACCTTGCCTTTTTTCATTCCATTACCCTACCTCTTGTGTTTTTAAAGGGGTCATATGATGTTGCTAAAAACGACATGGCGGCGGCGGCAACAACAATACTACAGCGAGAATAAAAGTTACGCCTTCTTTCTTTGCGTGAAGATGTGGGAAGAGTTGCATACAGAGCATGTGAGCGGAGCGGAGTGGTAATATCTCCTTGAGAGCGCAGAGCGCCTTTCTGAAGATTCCGCTCCGCTCGCTCAATACGCTCAGCGCCGCTCGCTCAACCCAGAATGCCCTTTGGTGATTTGCTTGTTCAAGATCGAGAATCTGTAGTAGTAGAGCAGTTATGGAGTTCAGATATTGTTTCAACGAAGTTGCAAGCCTTATACATAAATGTAAAGTAAAAATCAAAGTTAAGAATGAGCAGGGAGAAGAAACTGAGAGGGAGTGCGGGGAGACTGTTAAAGTTAGTAAAGATTCATATTGGAATCTGAAGCGGCACATTGCCAGAAAGCACGAGGATGTGCTACGCAAACATGGTGCAGCAAAAGGTGAGATAGTTACATACCATAATAAATTAATAAACAGGTAGGCTAAGGTTATATTCGGTTGTACGGAGCCCCGATCATGACATGCAGACAAAATCACAGCCACGAATTTAGAATAGGCTAGTTCTCTTTTATGCTAGGACTACATTATGGCCACGAATTAAGAATTAATTTTTTCGTTTAGTCTAAATTATGGCCACGAATTAAGTATTCATTCTCTTGTTTAGGCTTAGCTGCCACGAATTCATTCGTTCGTTAATTCGTTCATTCCCTAGTTTTAGTAGGCCTAAATCGTGGAACGAATTATTATATTTCGTAATTACTTATTAAAATCATTATTGCTTAAAATTTATAAATAATAATAAATTAATT